CGACGACGATGACAATGTTGTTGTTGTTGTTGTTGTTGTTGTTGTTGTTGTTTTGTATTACAGCAGAGGCAGGCAGTCTGGACCTTAGAGGCTCATCCCTGTTTGAGTAAAAAGAAAAGCCCCTTGGTGCCTTTCTAGAGAAGTGCTGGAGGCAATTTTGTTATGCTTTGGCTCCCCAATCAATCTGCTTGGTCCACAAGTCACTTCCAGTTTTGAATCTTCTCCATGCTTCATGCAGACTTTAATGTTTAGTGCTAGAAATACCAAATCATACCATATAAGCTTTCGGGGATGCTGGTTCTGGTTGCAATTTACTTTCTGCATACATTTTCACCTACATATAGCCCTTTTTGTTCCAGAAATTGCTATTTTTCCCACAAAAAGTGATTAGGCAGTCACTACCACTTTCTGAGAGTGTAATTTCAACAAATTTAATTCAAAGGGTAAATCTTATCTGTCAGATGTTTCTGGGAGTGAGATTTACCATTTGAATGATATAATTGTGTGCCATCAAGTCAATTCCAACTAATAATGACCTTTTCCTGTGTTTTCTAGGTTTACTATTCCCTTCTTCTGGGAGCATCCCGGGGCTGTGCAGCTTGCCCATGGCTACACAGACTGGCTCTTATTACAGGAGGCACAGTGGGAAACTGAACTCTCAACCTCTGGCTAGATACCTAAACCACTGAGCTATCCAGCTAGCCATTTTGAAGAATTTAGCTTTTTCAGGATGTGGAGGAATTGAGGGAGAGCAAAATACACATAGAGACCATGAGCCACTGAATACACATACATGGGACTAGATTTCTGCCAATGAAACTTACTTCTAGGTAAGCATGTATACAACCTTTTATAAGTAAGATTGTATGCAGATTTCCTCCATGTCTTTCTTCACAGGATTATCTCAGTAGGTTATACACTCAGCAAGAAGTGTTGCTTTGGGAACATTACTATGTTATAACTCAGAAGTTAAATCTGCCTCCCTGGAAATGGACTTAAAACCCAACCTAAGGAATTTAGATAAATATATATTTCTTAAGGTGCCAGTATAGTTTGTTCTAAGTAGAATAGAGTCCCCTCTGATATTTGCCAGTTGTTTAAATGAGTTCATTTTCTTAAGTTTCCCCAGAACTGCTAAGCAAATAATGAATGAAGGCTCTGCTGACAAGGCAGGTAGATTTATGCATCAATAATCCATCCAGTTCAGCATTCCTTGAAATGTAAATTTCAAACATGTCACACAAGTAACTTTTTCACAGAGGCACACAAACTTTTTGCCAACTAGCTGAGTGAAGGTGGCTGTAGCTGAGCTGGGCCTTAACGCAGCTTAATGAGATCCTTTTCAAATGGGCTTTTCAAAGATTTTGGCTGACTGGTTCTGAAGATAGCTTTAATGCTTTTGTTGACTAACTGGTTTCTAATTTGCTTTCATACTGTGTTTACTCCATTTCTGTGACATTTGTTAGCCATCTTCAGTACTCTTTTTTTGTTGTTGTTGGAAAAGTGGGGAAAATGTAATCAATGAATAATAATAAACTATTTAAGATCCCATGATCTCCTTGCTGCGCAGAGAATAATAAGCAAAACCTCTAAGGATGAGAATTAATGGAAGAATGAGACGAGGTTTAAGAAAAATGCTATAAACATGAAATGGAAAAGGTTTCTACTTCAAATGTCAATGGGTGACAACTCCTTTGCACCACTTCTCCCACAAAATAATTGTGTTGAACTTGGTAAAAACAAATTTAACTGATGAAGGAAGAGGAACACAATCCAATAAAAATAAAGAAGTGGTATGGGGGCATCTAGCCAGCCTAAATGAATTCTAGTTGTATGAACGAAATTAAGTGCATCCTGGAACATTGGCCAGTTGAAGTGAATTCTAAGGCACTAAAAGAAAGGAATGGAAAACCATTTCTGAGTACATTATACTTAAAAATGCTGGAAAGGGCCACTATACATTGGAATCAACCCGACACTATGTAATTATTATTATTTAAAGGAACTTGAAAATGTACCGTAGTCTCAAAGTCTCTGTCTACAGGTTTTGGAAGTGCCTATAGAACATGTGATTGACATGACCTCATCCTTAAAGAAGTAGAAAAATCAGGATCCAGCCAGCTACTACTGAGCCATCCAACCACATGACACTGTAAAAGATCTAGAACAGTGAATTAACCAATTAGCCTAAGAGTGCTTGGAAAAGAACACTGTTAATAAACTGCCATTACAAGTTTCTCAAGAACAACTTGTTGGGGGCTCATTCATATAGGCATTTGTCCTGCTATCTGGTGTGTGATAGGGGCAGACTGGTACACTCTTTTATCCAGCAACCACATGACAGAAGTGCTAGACGAGACCAATTTGTCCTCAGAACACCCCAACATGCACTTTTTCGAGTCCCTGTCAGGGACTTCTACTTTTTTGGCATGGGTCACTTTTCTTAGCCATTAACTGCTGCAATACAACCAGGACAAATCCTATTGCAGGGTGCCATTTCTTGGCTCATTGTGAAGGAACCTGGTAAGAAGAAGATCTCATGCTGCTTGAGGGTGACCTCACAATAACTTGGTTTCAATTTTTCCATTTTGTTGTAAGTCTCAGATGGATCAGATAGTCTAAAGTAGCTTTTTAATTATTTGATTTATGTGGCTATAATAATGACATAAAAAAAGCCAAGAACATAAACAGTCCTGTATTTTATGCGCATAGCAGACAACCACACACACACACACACATATATATGGCCCAGAAAGGAGACAACAGCAGAATGACACCTGTCCATTCATGTTCCTCAGCAACTTGTCTATGGAAGTGTACTGCTTTTCACTATAGAGGTGTACTGTTAATATTATACGTATGTATTAGATATTACAGACCCAGCTATTGCTCTTTTGATATTTTGTATTGCTTTAAAATACTTCTAAAAAGTAATTGGCTACAGTTATAATCCCAAAGTGCTCTAAACATTTAATTCCTGATATAATTACAGGTTTAAAAGCAAGCATTTCTCATGTCTAAATTTTAGATTATAGTTAGTTAAAACCTCTGAAGGTTGCAAACTGCTAGCCTGTGGTGTAAACCACTTTCTTCTCCCACTCATCTCACTGTTGCCTCAGGACCCACAATAGATCATGAGGCAATAGCATGGCAATTTTAATTGTATTTTAATTGTTCTTCTCCCACTCACTGTTGCCTCAGGACCCACAACAGATCATGAGGCAATAGCATGCACATATCAGAAACAAGCAGTTGAAAGGTGTAATGCTTCTCCTCCATCACATTAAGAGAGTCTCTTGTACCTCTAGGAGTAACTAAAAATCATGTTTCAGATCATGAGGCAATAGCATGCACATATCAGAAACAAGCAGTTGAAAGGTGTAATGCTTCTCCTCCATCACATTAAGAGAGTCTCTTGTACCTCTAGGAGTAACTAAAAATCATGTTTACAAGCAGTTGAAATGTGTAATGCTTCTCCTCCATCATATTAAGAAGAGAGTCTCTTGCACCTCTAGGAGTAACTAAAAATCATGTTTAAGTTACCACGATGTGTGGTGTTACTGCTCACTAATTTACAATCATAATTATAGTTGTATTTCAATTATTGGGGAAAAGAAATTCATTACAAGTAACCAGTTATTTTGCAACTAGTCACTCCCAAGCTCTGGACAAGATCCAACACAGGTCATCTGTTGTTGGAATAGCAGAATCCAGTGGAAGTGGCAGCAAACAACCTTCCCTTTCAGCCCATTTATTATAAAACCGAGGTCTTGAGGTCTGGGAAACCTGACAGAATAAGGAAGTGGAGAGACATTCCATTGTGAAAGCACAATGGAGTATCTTTTTGTTGGAGTTGGCTCTTTGTAAATGATATGTGTGGCTCCTGTATTTAAACTGTTTATTTTGTGGACTGCCTGAGCACAATATAATAGGACATGTGGTATATAAATAAACTGACTCTGAAAATTATTGACTGTATGACTAATACAGTATATGATTATAAGTACATTGACAGAAGCAGGGTGTGGTAGGAAAGCTATTACATTAGAAGACTCAAACAGGAAACATTTTGATTTTAACTGGATGGGAAACTGGTCCAAACATAACAAAATGAATTTTAACAGCGATACATATAAAACTCTTCTTGTTGATAGGAAAGATTAGCTCCAAAAGTGTGAGTGATATATGACTTGAGAGCAGTACATATGAAAAGGACCTGGTGGTTTTTGTAGACCGCAAGATATTTATGAGTCAGGGACTAAACTGGAAGATGCACAGAGGAAAATGGCAAAGACAGTGAACTGCCTGTAGGCCATGACGGCAAGGAAAGGTTGCAAGAGTTACATATGTTTAGGCTGGGGAAGAGATAATTAAGAGAGAGTAATGATGGTTGTCTTGAAATACATCTCTCTTTTTTGTGCCAAAGTTTAGAATGAACCATTGAGTTCATATTTATTTATATCTCTGGGGTCCAACCAGACGTACTGATCTTCCTAGGTGTTTCACAGTGGAACTGACAAGCATCCCCTTCGTTAGGCTCCCCTTTGTTAGAGCATTTTTTAAGCAGATGTTGGATTGCTACCTATCAGGGATGTTGTAGTAGTGGACTTCCAGAATCATTAACAGATTTGACTAGATGATCTTCAAGGTCACTTTGAGCTTAATGATTTTATGTTCATCATTTATAGTCCCAAAGAATAGAAAATAAATGTGATGACAGCCCAACAAGTGATTACACAAAGTGTTTACAGACCTGTCCAGGAATGAGAATTAGATCCTGTTAAATATAAACATATTTTGTAATATTTTCAAATTTTGCCAAAGAAACGCATATAGAAGTATGCACACAGAGAGGGAAAATCAACAACTTTCTATGAATTCTCTATGAAAAAAGTAATGCTTGAAAACAGATAAGGCCAATACACTGGCAAGTAAAAATAAACAAATCCTAATGCATCCATGTAGATTTATAGTTTCATAAATAAATCAGAAACCCATACTTGATATTTTGAATATAGTGTGTATAGTATACAAGATCACATGAAGTTACTTTGCACTTTGAGTACATCTTATGATTTGCAAGTAGATATTACAAAAGTTACTCCACACATTGGAGAGCAGGCAATTAATTTTTGTCTTTGTTTTTGCAATAAATGTTGTGCCAAATTAGTAATATAAACTATTGGAACAAATGTTTACAAAATACAAACAAGACCAATAATTATGTATTGATGAAGGGTATATTTTTAAAGAAGTGAATCAAAATTGATTAAACAGATAATTCCTGATATCTATTGTATGAAATGGAATTGTTTTTAGGGTCCTCATTTGTTTGTACTGGGAATGCTGAAAGCTTAACATTTCCTCAAATAGCTTAAGTGGTTCGATACCCAAGTGGGCAATATATGTGTTCCTTAATTTGTAGAACCTATATAGAGAATAAAAATTCAGCAATTCAAAATTATACTTGGCCTTGAGGCTCATTTAGGTGGGATATACTATACAATCTTCATATCACAAAAAGATTGAAAACTGCTATGGAGCTAGTCCAAACCTTCCTTTCATATAACATATACTTATCTGACTTTATGAAAAGGTCTATAAATCAATCCTATTTCATGGAGTTGGATAGAAAAATAAAAGCAGTCAACAAAACCTGAAAGCTAGAATAATACAATTTCAGGTACATATCTGTTTAAACATTGTTAAGGAATGGTTTCCTGTGGAACCCCATTTGTTCATAAATTTGAATAAAAAGAGAAAAATGAGTCAGTTCAGCTATACAAGTGTAATTCTGAAATAACTCCATTGAAGTCAGTGGCCTTGGACTGGTGCAATCATGTTCATTACAGTAGTTACAAGCCAATATTAAGCTGTGCACTAAAGAGTGCTTGTCATTTAACACAATAGGCTTCCAGTGTTATACCCCAGGGAATAAAACTCTGGTCTTCACATCAAGACAAATAGAATCCAGAATTTATCACGAAGTGCTTGAAAATAAATTACTGCAGGGCGTTTTTTTTCCAAAAGAAAGTTTTTTCTTAAAAAAACAAAAATTACTAATGCCAATCAAAAGAATGATTAATCATTCTATAAAACTTTGCATTGTGCTCTCTGAAGTAGGAGTAAAGTTGCTCTAAAACAGTACTGTTGACAACAGGATGTGGGCGCCCTTTCGATTCATGTAAACATCTCTCTCTTCCATCACTCCTAATGCAATAGAACCCCTTGGTCTGGTTAAAATAAAAATTTGAAGACATGATTCTGGAAGGCAGGTTCAGAAATCTTTCCACTTTTTGCAATTCAGGAAGAGGGTCTTTGATCAAAGTATTTCCATCAACTATGTGAATCTGATCCAGGTGGAAATGTTTAAGCCACCTCTCCATATGGATATCATACAGACTTCTCTGGATAGCCTTGTATTTGGTATTAAGTGCTCCATTTTTAATAACAATGTCTTCAAAGAGCTGAACAGGCTTGTGGCTTTCCAGTCTATTGTAATAGACTTGGGTATAATCAGAGATAACTCTCTCTGTGGGGTCTCTTAGAATAAGCAGCAGTTTAATAGAGCTATTCATATCATGAATCCTTTCGGGAGCCTGTGGTGAGGTAAAATAGCCTGGTGTTTTCTCAATAGTTATTTGATTTTCATATGAAAACGGCATCAGGCTCCTATACCAGTCTATTCCTTTCATGTAATTCTCATCCCAGTCAAAAAAGTGAACTTCTGTAGCAGCCACCACAATGTTTGGGTGAACATCCAACATTTCTAATAAAGCCCTGGTCCCTCCTTTACGAACTCCAATGATGATTGTCTGAGGTATCCGCCTGCTGGTTCCAGGTGGTCTTACTTGTGCTGAATAGTGTTCGCTTTTATTGCTGAACAATACAACTTGGGATTTCAGTGTCTCCATGAGAGCCCCATTCTCAACCGGAGCACCATGGGTACGAGTCAGCAAAAGGTATGCTGACACCAGTAGAAAGGCCATGTGGAGATGGAGAGACAATCAGTGCAAAATGCTGTTGTGCTTGGGTGATAAAAAGTTGAGCTCGTTTCCTCTTGGCAAGGCAGGTGATGGACGTAGGGGCACAGCAGTAATGGATGTCTCAAACATCTGTGAATTGAGGGGAAAAAAGAGGTAAGTCAGTAACTGAGATCCTGTTGCGACTCCTTTCCTGTGCCACAGAATTGCAACTTACACATAGTGCTTGAGCAAGTTGATTTTGAGACTTTGGCACCTAGAATCCTGACCTAGCACAACCAGTGGCCATGACCGTTGTTACTCCAAGAAGTAACATTTCACAGCTCTAACTACAGGTGACATGGGCAGTAAGGTTCATTCTTATATTTGCAGAAACCCAACATAGTGTATACATGTATATTCTAAATGTGGTTATTGATCAAGAATAAATTACAAAAAATACTGTGATTACAAACTGATAAAAATATGACTCTACCTTGTTTATTTCACACCATGACTGGAAGAACCAACCTGAGTATTGGGCATTTGTACTTTTCACACTACAAGACGGTTAAATTAAGGGAGAAGCCAAGCAGTGAAAAGCATAAGAAAATGACCAAAGAGGAGAAGAAATAATCAACTCAATGCTATAGCATTGAATAAACACCAGCATTTGTGAAATCCTGATGTTATGCACATATAGGCTTCCTGTGTCCAGAAGGAGGAAGGGGAAAACAATCCATGTACTGCCAATGCTATAGCATTGAATAAACACTAGCATTTGTGAAATCTTGATGTTATGCACATACTGTATAGGTTTCCTGTGTCCAGGAGGAGGAAGGGGAAAACAATCCATGTACTGTGGGGTAGAATATGGGAACTAAGGTTACATATCCAGTGATTAAAAGGACTCTTCCAGGCAAATGGTGATTGTGAGCTGACATATGTGAACTACAGCGAAGACTCTCAACCTTTTGTATCTTATGTTCCTCAAGTCATTCTACTAAAGGATCTGAGTTCCACTTTTCCTCAAGAAGGACTTTATATATTTACAGGCAGTCTGTTATCACATTTATTTTTTCCTGACATGGCGCAGAGGGAGGAGAAACATGGAGTGTCTAAACCTTTTAGCTTTTAATGTCCATTTTAATGATGTTGGGCAACTTTCCCTCTAATTTTCAGCTCTGCCCCTCATGCACATGATTCCATCCGCCTACAGGTGTTCCATAATGACTGGAACCAAAGGGGCTAGAAACGCTTGTTGTGGGTGTGCGGAGTGGGGTGGAGTCATGTGTGCTCACACAGCTGTGCATCTTAGAGGGAACTTAGAGTCCTTTTTTTAAGAGAAAGGAGGGGTAAATTTTTTAAATAAATAGATAAGTAAGTAAGTAAATATTTGCATGGCAAAACGTTAATTTGTGACAGGAATAGTCATAGGAGGTGCAAGAGGACATGGGATTGAGGAAGAATCAGCTTTTAATGATTGTTATGAAAATTCTGCATCCCTCATCAATGACATCTGGCTTCTAACAGGGGTATATGCACCACAGGCGGAGAACCACTCAACTAAAGTCAACCATGGGTATCTCTACACAGAATGTTCCAGACTGAAAAGATCTTGTTTTTTAGGACTGCCATCACAATTTGAGATATTCAGGAATTTTTTCCATTCAAGTAAACTACAGATTTCTTAAATTTTGCAAAATGGATGATATGGGGAGCATTTTCATATTATACATATAGTTTCCAAAGACTTCATGTGCTCCAAAGTGCCCAGGCATAAGGGGGATTCTGACCCTTTCCAACAAAGAACCTCTATGCCACATCAGAACTTGCTTCTGATAGTTTCCTTAGTTTTAAAAAAGCATTTGCTGTGTGGCATGAGGAGGAGGCTCATGCTCAGATCTCTGCTGGAAAGAAAAATCTACGTAGTTGAGCTTTTCTTTGGATCCCACTCGGAGTTTGCAATTACAGTAATTATACAGTTTATCATCCAGTCTGATTTCAAGCATCTGTGCCCTTTCACAGATCTATTTGTTCCCTTCAAAACATACTAAATGGTACATTGTAAACATATTTGCTTGTGCTTTATGGTTTTGTGCAGTTAAACTGTTCACAGATTTTTCATTATCTACCATTCTGGAGTCTCAGAGGAATTTTTTCTCCACCCATGGTTTTGAGATTTTTTTTTTTTTACTTTCAATGTAAGAACAAAGTTATGAGCACCTTGAAGCACCAAGACAATACTCTTAGGAGAGTTAGCTCTGTTCCATTGTTCGTTTCTCTTATTATTTTCAACCTCTATGATCATTAGAGTTAACACTGCAAGTGTAGTCCAATGGATCTAGACCCCCTCAGGAGGATATAACTGTCTTTAGTATTGCAAGTTGGTAATTTTTAGAAGTTTCTCCATGTAGTAGGTCACAGGCACTGAGAATAAGACCCACACAAAATGTCAACACAAAGAATCCCTCATCCTTTATTTTAGGAAGGTTACATTTTCAATTTCAGCAGGTCAGGTGGAGACTGTAGCTCTGTTGAAGGTGTGAAGCAAATGATAAAATAGAAATAGGTAAAAGCTAACTTGGTTTCAGCCACATGAACAATAGTCTACAGATAATGCCAGCCCGTCAAGCAGCCCATCTTTTGCTTCTACAGCTTGAAATTTGTATGAATATGCAAGATCTCAAGCCATGTCTTTGAAATGGAAATAACTGCTGTGTGTGTGTATTTTAAATGACAATTTTCCAAAGGAAGATGGAAATGCCACTGAAAACTGTGTTCAGCCATTGATTTTAAATGTAAACAAGATTTGATCTCAGATTGATTTACAATGTTCTAATTAAGACAATGGGAAAACAAATAATTACACATGGGGAAACAACTCCCTTTCAATATCTGAGGGAGAATAATCATTCTTATTCCTAGCAAGTATTCTCGCTGCAGTAAAGAATATTTTACTTCCACTCGACAGGTTTTAACATGAATTTCAGAAACATTCATTTATTATTTACTTAACACCATCATGAATGTTAACCTAAAATGTTGACTCGTCATCAAATAACTGTTAATACAAAATGTTGACTTACAAGTGCATTGCATTTTGGAATTGTCATAAGGCTTACCTGGGGAACCTCCCTTATGTACACTTACAGCATTCTGAATGTCCCTTCCTCATTATGCCATGATATTGTTCAACAAATACTGAACTTTGTAAAAGGAAAGGAAAGGAAAGAACACACATTTGGACACCACACTGAAAATGCTCAGTCTCTATGAGATTTTTCCTTCCTGTACCACACCAAAAAGACCAGCATATGTTTCGTTATCAGCAAGATGAATCACTCAAATAAAATAAAATAAAATAGAGTTCTGCACAAGAACAGTCTGTTTTGCATTAAAAAATTCGTTACAAGAATACTGATCAAAAAAGGAATATATGTTTGTTTTTGATGCAAAAAAACCCATTAAAAAACCCTACTTCTGGAATTTTGGGGGGAAAGGGCTAAAATGTCAAAACTAAGCACAAACAGTTCTAATTCCACCCCAAAGGGAAAAATCTTGGTATCTGTCCTTCTCAGCTGCAAGAATGAAATAAACTTCTCTACTCTGATGTCATCAAGTATAGTATCTGGATGAATACTAGTGATGGGGTTAGTTAAGAATATCTTTCTCCCTCAGTTTGTTTCCCCTTCTTCTCCACATTAAAGAACAGACCTGGCAGACTTTGGAACTTTTACTCCAGAAATGTAACTTCAATTTCTGGAACAGATGGGCAAACTTTCTCTCTTGATGACAATGACTACATGGTCTAATACTGTGAGATTTGCTACAGGTGTAAAAAGATGAATTTATATTTTTTAACTGATCACATGACACAAAGTCCAATTTTAATCAATCTGGACCATTTTGCTTCAAACACAGAATTGTTTTCTCGGCCACTAAGAGATTCTCCTTTTTTCCCCAAGCCAAAACTATTTGAACAGACTTTTCACTGGATGATCAATTGTTTCATTTTCCAAAAGATGAAGGACATGATTGTGGGTGGCCTTCTGATGATGTACTATGCTGGGTGTAATATTTTGGACAGCAGGAATACCATGATCTTTCTCCCTAGTGGCTCTGAAGTATTTTTAATTTTTTTAAAAAACATGCTACTGAGTTTAGTGCTAGATCACTTTTTTACTGCATTCATATATTAGTTTAGCGCTAGATCACCTCTGTAAGGCAAAAAAGAGATAAAAATCTACATAAAATAGAAACAGCTCCAACGAACTACAGCAGAATAGTATGTTTCTGTGGTATTTATATATGTGTTTGTACATTATGGAGTACGTTGGAAAACTGTCCCTTTTCCCTAGCACCATACAACATTTTAAACAGCCCACCAGCTATACAGGAAGCTTAAAAGGAGAGCCAGGGATCAACAGAAGGAAGACCAACAGAAGGGGGCACAGATTAAACCAAATCAGATTGAGGGACATTGTGGACACTGGCACCCAAACAATATAGTCTCCATGTAGCCACCTAATTCAAACAGAAGTACAAAATAGGCTACAATTCAGGCTGCAGCTAAGCCAGGTTGCCCAATTTCAGCTTCCTATTGTAGTTGTAGTTGCAGTTCCTCTCTCTCTCTCTCTCTCTCTCTCTCTCTCTCTCTCTCTCTCTCTCTCTCTCTCAAACACACACACACACACACACACACACGGCAGCAACAAACTGCACTAAGGAAAGCGACTCCTTTCCTTTGTCACAGAATTGCAACTTACACATAGTGCTTGAGCAAGTTGATTTTGAGACTTTGGCACCTAGAATCCTGACCTAGCACAACCAGTGGCCATGACCGTTGTTACTCCAAGAAGTAACATTTCACAGCTCTAACTACAGGTGACATGGGCAGTAAGGTTCATTCTTATATTTACAGAAACCCAACATAGTGCATACATGTATATTACATTTTTATGGCTTTTCAACACATGCACGTATGTCTTTCATTTTGGCCTGCCATTCTATAAGTCAGAGAATTTAAACAGATACACAATTTCCCCCTGTAAATGGTGCTATTAGGGATGGGCACGAACCGTCGTTTGGCGGTTTGGCTGCACACTTATTTTCCCGCTTCGCTTGCCCCGCCTCCTCCAGTTGGCACCCAC